ATTCAAGTATTTAAGATAAGTCCGACAGTCAATTCACACATATCCAAAATGTAAATAGGATTTTGAAATCTTTTTAATTAGGCTAATATTTGTATGCATAGTTCGTTGACAAGTTGGAAGAAATCCACTGGCTATCAATGCACTCTTGATGTAATGGTCACTTCAGTCACTGAGTGACTGGCATCCACTTTCTCCCTACAATACCACCCCTGAATCACCCATTTGAGTCACAAGAATAGAGAAAATGATCACCATCAAAGAAGCTCTTGATTGTCAAACAAATTCTCCTTGCCAGCACCTCAGGAAATGTATAGAGAAAGGTACAGAGAATATGCATACAGATGTTAGAATTGAACTGGGTTAAATCTAAGGATTAAAGAAGAGGTACCTAATTAAGATAGAAAAACATTGGATATTGTCACAATTCAAACTCTATACTTTTTTTCACCCATTGTCTTAAAATCTTCAGTAGTTTAATTAAGGAAGTGTTGGGTATTTTTCAGAAGGAGTGGGGAATTATTGAAATTTAAAGCTAAATGTAACTGGGGTCTGTAAATTTTTCCTCTCTGTGACATAGGAGTATGGGGGTCAGATCTATCAGTCACATAACCTGTCTGAGGAGGATCTCTTCAATGTTGTTGTTTGACAGGAAATCTGCTAGAGTCAAGCCAGCTCTAGTATGAGAAATGCAAGTCAAAGACTATTACAGACTGTGTTTTGCACTGGTTGACAATAGCTCAGTTTATAACTCAGCACTAGATATTTTAAAATCAAGTGAAGTGCTTCAAAATAAATCAGGTTTTAACTGATACACCTAGTATAACTGTTTTTTTACTGGAATGATGAAGTTTCAATATCTCTCAGCATGAAGAAACATGGAAGAAAAGGCTAACTGATCCAAAGTCAGAAAGTACAGCAACCCTTTTCACACAGCACATTTAAAAAAGATTGCTCTCTTGAGTTTAATCTGTTCAACCAAAGTTTATGTAAGAGTTCATACTATCCAAAAGTCGTAATTTACAAGTAACAGCTCAACTAAATATGAGAGTATTTCAAGCCTATTAAACTGCAACACAAGTTCCAAAATCACAAAAACTAATTGGTGGAAAAGAGCAATAAAGATTGAGGGATTTCAATACAAATTTCTAAATAGTTTACAAAATGTTGAACTTAAATTTAGTTTTCATCCACAGTGATATTTACAAAACATTTCAATCTGCTCATTTTCTTTCCTGGCTTTTTTTACCAATACAATGTCTTGCTAAAAAAGCTTGTAACGCTAGAAAACCACCCATTTTCTTTGTCATCTCCAACTCTTGTGATTGCCTGGAAAAAAGAATTGTTAACTAAGCTGTAGAAATTAGACCCTTTTGCTAAAAAATGCCATTCTTTTGTGTAATTGAGTTCTTTGTCATTTAAAAGAGGTGAGTAGAAGGGGGGGGGGTTATTTTTTCCATTTTATAAATAGTAACACAGGTATCAAAACAACTGTCACTTATACCAAAGGCTTGGGTATACAAACAATAGCCTGTTAATGTTACACTGGAAATTAAGAGTGCTGAAGAGGGTGTGGCTTCAACTCCATAATACAACAATGCTGCAGCCATGGGATAGCTGAGCTGTAATTAATTTACTTACTCTGTTCTTGAACAATCCACTACAAGTAAATAGAGTCTGTTGTGTCGGGTATTCTTTACTTACCTTATCAGAGATGACTGTATCTTCATCATCTTCAGGCAGATAGTCTGGTAATGTACTGCTGTTTCCCCTTCCACAACTCTTAGCAGGAGCTTTGCCAAATGACAACATCACCTTGAGGAACAAAAAATTGTTGTTCAAACTGAATCACCTGAAGTATGTTAGAAAGATTTTGCCTCGAAAGATCTGATCTAGCACCATAGGCAACTAACTTTTGTCTATAAGTGACTTGAATAACTTTTTTTGAGTGATTTTTCTAAGAGAAAATTAAACACAATGCTTTTTTTTAACTCTGAAGAAGACAACCATTCAGAATGGTTTCAATGACTTTTTCCAGCAGCCACTTCCAATAGTGACAAGGGCAGTTGTATCTCAAAACCCAATTAAAAGAGCCTGAAACAGACAGCAGTAAGAGGTGTCCTAGGTGTTGGTAGACTGTCGGTGACCAGCGTTTACTGATACCCCTGACTTAGATTGTCATCACATCTATTCACCTGCCAAGCTTTAAATAAGGGAGAGCACCACTTGTAGGTGGTTCTTACTTTCCCACTTAACTTACCTCTTCTCCTCTTTCATTCTTGATCACTTGTTGAGCTGACAGAACTTTTGTGTTATTGATAGCATCACACAGTGTTTCTGGTGTTAGCTCCACTTTACATCTGACAATACATCTTGATTTATTCATAACAAATGTAAAGCTTATTACTCCTTTAACTTTCAGTAATTCCTCCTCACAAAGCTTTCTGGTGACCTAAACAGAAAAATTCAAAATTTTGGACTCTGGTACTGGTGCTATGTCAATTTGTTTCAAGCTAATTTGAAAACTCCACTGCCTTTTAATGTAGAATGAAACAATTTAATTCAAACCTGATTTGCCAAGCCTTTGATGTGAAGTGTAACCACTTTAGCTCTCTTGTTCAAATTTCCAAGGAAAAACGATTGTGATGTCTCACTGCAAGAAAAAAAGGGGAAAAAGCCCAACAGTTATTAAAGAAAAGTCAGTTAGTCTAATAAAAAAAAAATAAATAACAGGCAAAACCGAGAAAAATTAAAGGGAGAACACTAAAAAATATATACATGCCTGGCTCTTCTACTCGAAGGTGTCTTCACAGTTGAAATGATATTTTGATAAACCTCCTTTGCAAGCTGTCTTGCTTTGGAGTGATAACCCTCCTTGTGCATGATGGTTTTTAAGCTGATAACCATGCCTATTTCTTCCTTCATTTTCGAACGGTTGGGTTGAAATTCTGACAAAAACTTCAACGCCTGGAAGAAATAACCAACCAATAAAATCTTGTTGTCAGTTAAAATTGCCACAAATATTCGTTTTCAACTGGAAGAATATACTAGCTTGTGATGAGATTTGATTACATATATACCTCAAGGGCTGTGTTAACTACATTGACATCTTCATTGTCTAGAAATAAAACCAGTCCTGCTAGGCACCCCTGATCCTAAGTACAAGAATCAGAAAATTAAATGAATCAACATCATAAAATAAATGTGGCCAACATAACTGCTTTCTAAAGATATTAAAAGTACATTTAAATATTTCGTACTTTAACTATGGTAGCTCTGTTTTGTGGATCAGCCGCTAAGTTCCTGAGATGTTCAACCACACCGAGGGCAGTCATTATCACCTTCAAATAAAAATTTTCTCAACTCAAGGTATTGACGTTTATCGTGCAAGGCGTTCAGTTCTTGAGGCACAAGAGCAGAATATATCCCGACTGGCTTTTATTCGAACACGCCGCTCTTCAATTTGATTGGCTCATCGGTGAAGACACAGCGTTTTGATTGGTCAGATTCAGATGCACAACAAAATTTAAATCTCACTGAGCAATCATGTGGTATTAACTTTCCTCAGCTCTTTGGTTCTTCTCCATCATATTCTAACTTTACTTTGATTTTAAGTCCTTAAGAATACTAAAGGAAATGGAATTTGCTTTAGAAGTAGTAACGACAGTGCTTGAGTACTTTGGCTGGGACAGACACGAAATCGAAGTAAGTTTTTTTTTACGAATTGTTGTTCAGAATGCGTGACCACTTTGACGTAGTCAGATAAAAGTTATCATCGATCGAGTAATATTTTTTTCCATTTCAGGAGCTATTCAATCAAGATCGAAGATTAAGGAACCGAAGAAGAAGTATCGTTCGACGAATCGTCCGAGAGTTGTCACATTATAATCTCAAATTGTTTACGAAACGTAGCATTGTTCGTGAGATTGGAAGTCGACTGCCTTTGAAACCGTGTAGAAGACCGTATTTCGAGGTGAGTTCAGCTATAAAATATATCGCAGCAAGTTCGATCACTTCGTGCAACCTAAAACCAATTGATCTGAAACCAGTTCTTCAGGCGTCGCCCGTTTGATTGTTGAGAAAGTATGTTAAGCAGTTGATCAGCATCGTTTACAAGGCTATATTTTTATTTCATCTTTCAGCTAAGTCTAAACAGAAATAAGCAAGAACTTTGTTCGGAGATTGAAGGAAATTCATTATCTCTAATGATGATGGCATCCTTAGCTGATGTTGCCTGGATAACAGACAGTGACAGTTCATCATCTGAAGCTGACCTTCCTGATGATGATGATGATGATGACGAGGGGGAGGAAGTATTTCTCAGAGAACTTGAAAGCCCATTCAGGGAACCGGAGCTAGAAGTAGTCCAGGACGAACCAGAAAATGATGAAAAAGACAACGCTCCAAATAAGGAGGCCATGCAAAAAATTTCTGCTTTGGAGGATGAACTTCAGAGGTTGAGAGCTCAGATAGCGATGATGCTGGTTTCTGCTCCACAAAATCAAGGGGCTCCATCCACACCAATGGGGGCAACTGCACCCCCTCCCCCTCCACCACCACCTCCACCCCCACCAACACCCATGACGACCCCCCTGAAACCAGTTTCACAGATCATAAGAGAGGTATTACGTCAGGATCAATCTTATCATAGTTCACAAACTCATTTGGTTTTTTGATTACCATCACTAAAAAAGACAACTTGATGTCTGAGTTTTTCTTCCTATGATTTTCATCAAACAGAACAGGGCTAAAAGATTATCCCTTGCTCCAGGAATGGGACCAGCTGAACAGTCAAGTGCATGCACTTTGCCAAACATGGCAGATGTACTCAAGGGATTAGGAAAAGTCAAACTCAGAACAGTCGAGAGGTGAATGATTAACAAATAATTGGATAGCACTGCATTTTTGTTCTTTAAAGATAATAACTGAAGCATGTGAACAGTAGGTGGTGTCCACTTTAGAGAGAATGAACTGACATGTTCCTTTTTGTAGGTCCCCTGGTGGTACTCCCCTAAGGAAGCCTCCTGCTCCTACAGAAGGAAATGATCCTGCCTCAATCATTGCACAAGCTCTCAAGAAAAAGTTTGCACACAGAAGAAGACTTGAAGCAAACTCTCCAGGTAAAGAAACAGTTCTGATGGACTTTTCTTATTAGTAACTTGCACACTAATCACCAACACCCTGTGAACCACACATTGTTGATTCCTAAGGGGTATGAAACTTTACTCTAACCACTAAAGAGTTAAGCCATTATTACTTGGTCTGTAAAAGCAAGCAAGAGGTGCAAGTGAAGACAGGAAGCTGCTTATCTAGGTCTGCCATACTGATAACCATGAAGCTGATGCAGTAAGGGAAATCCCAAAGTTGCTTAATTTATTAGTTTTACACAAGACAGTGCCAACTCACATGGCCAGTATACATAGGACAAGGGGAACTACAAGTAATGCAAACACAAATCATGATGGTTAACATCCTGGCAATCATCCTTTTTACTCACACCTAATCTTTCCTCCCACATTATACACCTGCCATTTGTGCTGCGATAGAGAAGAGGAGGTTGTATCCCAGTTACAGATCTTATCCTCTGTGAATGCACAAACCAACAAATCACTTTCAGTTTTGAAGTATGCCACTTGCACAAGAATAATAAGGAAAGTTCAACTTCACTGTAGTCAAATGTTATCACAGAACAAGCATCTTACTCTCTTTGTATTGCAGACACCAACAAAGAAAATAACAGCCCTGGATCGCCATTTGGTACCCCACCCTCAAGCCCTAACAAATCTGTTCCTGTAAGTAATTTGCTTTTTGATGTCAAATGTACATGTAGGCAGGACTTTTCAGGTTTTGAGACCATTCAGGGGTGCACTTGTTTGTTGTTATAACATTATCAATTTCTCAACAAAGAGGAGGAAGGTCACATATTTCCCTTAGCCTTCACTCTATTTGGTTCAAACTGTTTCTCTAAAACACTTGAATACCCTCCATCTCTGTTACTACACATTTGACCTAAGAAAAGCTTTCATTAGGAAAGTACTGTTAAAGCCTGGTTTTCACTAGTGGCCCCAGCACAAACACACGGATAAGGTAAATATGCTGAGTAAAAATTTGAACATCAAGCCCAAGGTAACTCTACTGAGTGAAAATGAACTTCAAGAAGCACAAGCACAAGCACTTAGCCTTGTGCTTGCGTTTAAGTCAAGGCCATTTCCACAGTGGAAGATGAGCTGTTGTGCTTATGTTAGTGCTTGTGCTTGCATTGCTGGTCAAAACCAGACTTTGCTGTTTCAAGATTGCTCAACAAGCAATATCTACTGGTACTTAAATTACATCTATAATTTATTCTGATTTTTCTAGTTTGGACCCCACATGTTGAAAGCAACCAATAAGAAACGGCGATCAAGTACTGGATTAACAAGAACCACAAAACCAAGTCCATTGGTTAAAGTTTGCTGATAGACAAATTTTCTTATAATAACTTTTAACCAACAGTTAGACATTCCATCAACAAGTATTCTTTAAAATAGTTTTACTTTGATTGTAGTCCCTAATAATCCAAACAATGCAAAGATTCTGTTTATAGGTGTATCCTGACTGAGTTGTTTTCACTTTTAATTTGATTTTTATATTTTCACAAAATTTCTCAGTTACCAACAGGAGTGCTGCTTAGAGCCTGTTTTTTTAAATGGAACATATCAGGTTTCATTATGATGTAGCCTACTAGTAATACCTGGACTGTATAAATTATGTTCTTTAAGTGTTTGAAAAAACTTCAGCGAGCATCTAAATTTCATGGTTTTACTGTTGGAAAAAGATCTTAAATTAAACTTAATAGGTATTGAATACACAAATGTCCAAGGTCCTGTTCAATTACTGTAAATAGTGTACAGTAATTCTTAGAAGGAATGTATATTACAAAGTGTAACAGATGCCTTGTCTACAATCATGTTACATGTCACATAGTTTTCTGACATTTTGTAAATGCCTACTAAATTCCCTTGCCTCAAGAGGAGGAAGTTGACTGAGAATTCTCTGATTGCCTGATAATCAAGCTAAAGTAATTATTGCATTAAATTAGCTGTTAAATTCTTAAATGCTGAATCTCATTTGCAGTGCTTTCCCTTATACCCTAAGTAATAAATTTGTAAACCAACAATCTTCTTTGTTCTTGTAATCTAGTTTTAGCAAAATTTTAAGAACATTTCAACCTGTGGGTTGGGAATGGAAAAAAGGAATGAGTGACAGGAGGACAATGACCAGAGGTTTCACAGAAGTTAGAGGGGGAGGAAAGTCATGGAATTCTATAATTTCATTTCCCAGACCTAGAAAGTCATAGAGAAATCAAACCAAATGATGCAAAAATCAAGGTAATTGGGTATTATCAACTGGGTTGAGGATGGGCTAATGCTCAAAACATCAGCTTTGAAATTCTTGACAGTGCCCAATTTACGGCATCAACTTCGTTGATCATACCAAATTACCTTGTTATACTCTCTCACCAACCCAGCACCACAAACTTACCCCCTTTAATGCATATCAGAAAAAAATTCTTTGAATCATTACTTTACACTGTTTTGGGTTCCACGGTTTCTTAGTAATGTGAAAGCCAACTGGAAAAAGACATGAAGTTTCAAACAAGACAGAAACAAGGCAAACTTCAGGGAAAACTTAAAATTACTGATTGAAAGTACTATATGAGCTATGATTTATCATTTCATTCATTTTATTTTCAACCACAGACCTTTCTATTAAGATCCAATGTTAAGCTTTATGTGTAAACAAGCACTTCATAAGATTGACACCTTTTCGATGTGACTGAAATAACTATTTTACCTAAAAATTGCCTTAGTTAGTTCCTAAGGCTCAAACTTCCGAAATTTTCAATCTTTTGGTAAAAACATGAGTATGAACAAAGGGAGATTTTGATATTTCTTGCCTAATAGTGTATGTATGGGCTATTTTTTAGGGGAAAGTACAATGTAATACTGTCAGCAAAGTTAACCATTAAATAAGCTTGACACATATCTGCATGTACTCAGGCCTCTGCAATGTTAAAATTAAGGCACAGTCTTTATGTGATTTCCCAATCATTTCACAAGTAAATTTCATATGCATGTAAGAGGCAAGCGAAAAAATGTTGACCCTTTCAGTCAGTTACACATGCCTTTTAAGTGATTTCTTAAGCCTACAGTACACCTTGACCAAGATTTGTGATTGAACTGACCCTGAATATAAAAGCTAGTGAGCACCGATATAAATTTGCACTAACCCATAATTAGCTTCATCATGTTTTGAACAACCAGCCTGTAGGTCCCTAACATCTATAAGTTATAAATATTTGTAGTTGCCTGTGACATGTTAAAATACAAATTGCTTTGTGCAGGTTCACTCCACAATATCACTGCACATTGCAGTTCTATATACATCATAATCTGTCCTCATAAAGACTGCAGATATGCATTTCAGTGAAAGGAAACCATGTATAAAAAGATACATATGTACAAGCAGTAAGAATATGATACAA